ATATGGTACTATGAGCTTTCCCTTACCTATTTTTACATTACAGGCATTGGAAAACATTTAATGTTCAGTTCCAAACTATCAAAACCAAATTCAGTAAAAACAAAACAAAACAAAAAACCCAACAAGTACAAGTGACTTATTTCAAGATGAGGGATTAAAAAAAAAATCAATGGTATCAATTCTGTCAGGGAGCTGTAGATACACTGTTTTTTCAGTGTATTTAGGAGTAACTGGAGAGATTAAGTATTTTAGTAATCAATCAAAACATGTTGATTTTCTACATTTATATTGGAAATTTTAAAGGATTTTTGTACCCCTTGTACCTTTAAATCATTCTTCCTAAACTGCTCTATTATATCAGATACCTTTCAGCATAGCTGTAATGTAAGAGACTGCCAGGATGCAGGACTGCAGAATCACCTCACACTGAGTTAAGATTTTCAGTGACCTGAGGCATTGGTACAGAGCCTTCTCACACTATCAGCTACAGAAATGGGTTTTACATATGCAGAGTAATATTTTCTGGACTGGGACCTGGTTGTAGAAAAGAAAACAGATAAGCTTCATTGCCTGTAACGGGGACTTGCCTGGGTCTCCCATTTGCAGCAAACACAACCATTTATTTTTTTAATGTATTTTTCTACCCTTATAAGTTGATTTTAATATTTTTCTCATTCATGCTTTCAGCATTCTTCAGCAAATGGTCAGGAGCATCTCTACAGACAACTTCCACTAATTGTACCTACCTGCAGGACACAGCCATACTGTTCTGAAATTCTTCCTTCCCAAAAAGGGAGATAACAGGTAATGAAATGAGATTAGAAGGAAGGCAGTTGTTATAAATGCCTATCTTCTTACTAGATTTACAGCTTAACACCTAAAGGCCGAAAAAAATAGGCAAATAACAAGGCCCTGATGTCAAATTCATGCCAACATATTAAATATTGATAACAAATGAAAACAAATTATTAATTTCGTATTTACTTATTTATTATTAAATAAATAAATACACAGATATTTATTTATTATAATAAATACCAATATTTATTATAATATATCCCACCGCATTTCAAATTAACATATTGCTCTGGTTTACTTTTTGTGATTACTTTTAATCTAAACCTTTTTATGTGTTAAAACTGTATTTTTTTGTTTGTTTTTTAGAGTAACGTGGCAATTTTGTTAAACAAATACAGGCCTAGTGCTTAGAAAGCTGCAGAAAAAAACAGATTACGTCGGCAAAAGATCAAACATAGCATAGAAACACTGAAGCAATTAATCTCCGAGCCCGAAATGTCGGGGCCCACGACAGGCGGCCGAGCAGCAGCGCCCCAGCCCATCGGGATGCCCGCAGCTGTCGGGCAGTGCCTGCGGTAACGGAGGGGCTGACGGACAATCCCGACCGGCGCATCCCGCAGGGCAGCAATCACAGCGAGCCGGCCGGCAGGCAGCCCGCAGCATCAGCCGCAGGCCCGTACAGGCCGCAGGGCTGCGGGGCGAGGCTCCCCCGGGCCGGGGCCGGAGCGGGGCTGCAGCCGCGGCCGGCGGGACCCACCTTGGGCATGCGGATGTGCTCCATGGCGGCAGCGCCGCGCCGGGCTCCTCTCGCACCGCCCCCGCCGCCGAGCGGCCCTGCGCACCTGGCCTGTCCCCGCCGTGCTCCGGCCCTGCTGCTGGAAACAACTGGGGTTTTTTTTAATCATAGAATTTCATTTGATGTTTTCCTGGCGTTTTCCGGTGCAGGTGGGAAGGAAGAAGGGAGGGCTTATTGCCGGCAGATGATGCGCCCGTGTTGTGATGCCGGCAGGTCAGCGGCTGGCTCCGCCTCCCCGGCAGCTGCCATGCCGCCCCGGCAGCGGGGATGCTCCGTGCCCGCCCTGGCACGGCCCGGCACGGCACGGCCCGGCCCGGCCCGGCCCGGCACGGCCCGGCACGGCACGGCACGGCACGGCACGGCACGGCACGGCCCGCAGCCTCCGCCCCGCGGCCCCGAGCGCGCAGCCCGCACGGTGTGCTGTCTCACCGAGCGCTACATCGCTCTGCCCTTTCTTTCAGGGGAGATCAGATCGGAAGCATAAAGCGAGCTCTGTCTGAGATCGCCTCCCCCCGTTTTGTTTGTTTCCTGGCCCAGCGCGTACAGTAGCTCAAAGAGAAAAGCTCCTCTTACTGAAACCGAAGCGCTGGATTTTGTTTATCTCAAGCTCTGTGTGTCTGTAGTTCACGACTTTGCTGCATCCTCAGATTTGCACAAGGGAATATTTTCAGTGACACACAGTTTTCAGCCTTGTGTCAGAAATTCCTTTTGCCTTACCTATTGCCAGAGATGTGTTTTCTCTTGGAGCAAAAAGAAATGACACTGAGATGATTTTCCCAGTTTACCAGAGTGTAGATAAAGAACGAGTATCTCTAAGCATCTTTCATACTCTAACCAGCTATCATATTCAGAGCAAAAAGAGAAACTTTTCAGTGTTTATACCAATGTGCAAATGACTAGAGGTGCTAGTATATTATTTCAGATACACCATAAATATTAAATGCCCAGGTATTCTATATTGATCAAGGTATTCCAGCAATTCTTCACAAGTAGGGACTAGCCTCATGGAGGCATAGAAATAAATGTGGAGACCTGTCAAACAAGCCCCACAAAGGCCACAGCAAGAGGACTCTGCTCCAGAGCAACAGAAGCTCTCAGCATATCCTTTTCTTGCCTGCAGAGAAGAGAGCAAGCTTAATTAGTTTTGTGAAAGATAAAATATGGATTGAAAATAACATGGGGTTACCAAAAACAGAAATGCATTTTACCCCCAGGGAAAGGGAACAGTGGGTACAGCTCTACTGGTTCCAAAGTTTCTCCAATCCTGCCACTTTCTTGCTAGTGAATGGCTGGATTTTCTTCCCCCATTTCTTATCCACAAAACCCAGGGCATCAAGATGTTTTTTTTTTTTTTAATCAGCTCTTAGGTTAGAGGAGGCAGAAGCTGATGAGTGGAAAATAAGTCACCCCTGGATTTGATCATTCTGCTTGCCATTCCCATTTTGGCCCATTTCTGCCCGTCTTTCTCTCATAGTTCTGCTGCTGTTTGGATGGCATCCATAAATGTGCATAAAGTGTGGACTTCATACGACTCTTGATCAGTGGCATATTTTTATTCTCTGTTTTAGGCCAGAGCATCAGAATCAACTAAGAATTAACCAACCATGAAATATGTTTCCTTTGTAGTTATAGCTGATGTGATTCATTGCGTGTATTATCATCTTTTGGCATCACCACCAATGAGTAAAGTTGGAAGAAAATACATTTATCCTTTCAGTCCCCAGAGACGCTTTTACTCTGGTACATCTTGTGATTCATCGCAGCCAAGTTCAAGTCCTACAGTTGATGTGAGGAGAACTTTCAGATGCAAATGACAATGCACTTTAACTTTGCTTCACGTACATCAGTATCTGCAAAGCTAAAGCATTGCTGTCCCGGTAGCAATCAGTTGCTCAACATCCTGACACAGATTTTGGCTGATAAAATAGTTGCTGGGCAAATGCAGCTGTAAACAGAACTTGGGTTTTGATAAAAGTTACATCTAATGCAATTGTCATGTAAAGCTTCAGTAAACACAGCTTTCTAAAAATTCTCTGATAGTTTTCATTTGCATTTCAGGCTCATGGAGACTGCTGCCTCAACAGTGTGGAAATAAAATCCTCTGTAAAGGTATAACCAGAAATAATTCTGCAGATTACTGCTCTGACTTGACTAGGATGTAGGGGCAGGAAAATTAAATTGCCATGCCTACATAGGTTTTGACCTATCTACTGAAACTGTCAATAAAGTTCTTAATTTATTTCCCATGAAGAATGCCAGTCACTGAGGACTAGAATCATACCAGCATAATTATTTTCTATATCCACAAGTAACAGAGTCAGCTTTCAGCCTCATCCATAAAAACCTGAAAGCACATTTCACTTCCAATATGTAAACACTTCTGTTATAGTCAGTGGAGTTACCCAAAAACTCAGACGTTTTCCATAAAAGCTACCTGGCCTGTATTTGAACCACCATGTTAGATGTGGAAGGCTTTGTGGATTTATTTGTGTTTTCCAATGATATCGTACTTATTTAAGGGTAGTTTCCTGTGGGCTGCATTTTAATATAATACAAAATCAAAGAACACATTTAGGTACTTTTAATGCTTATTTTAAAGTTTAGTCCACAGATTTGTAGACATAAATTAAATACTGACATGTAGGCAGAAAAATAACATAAAATTGGTGGTATAACCGCTTGGTTGCTGGGACAGCTATAGCCAAGGTGACAGAATCCTCCAACTGAAGAGTCTGGTACATGGGATGCAGATGTGGAGATTGGGCTCAGCCCATGTTATTGTGGGCTAAAGGCAAACAGTGCCAGTTTGAGTGCAGCCCGGGGTTTGTGGATAAGAAATGGAGCTTAAAAAAACCCAGCTTGACATTTCACCAAGGAAATGCTTTTGGACCCACTGATGGCAAAAAGTGGTTTTTGGGCATCAGCTCTTTCTCATGCAATTCACCTTACAGGTCTTTGTACATTATTTGTTTAAAATTACACACAAACCAAATAGGACTGTATCAAAGCCAACTGACTTTCTTATCAGTTTTCTTCTAATGAAAATATTCAGTAAGATGCATTGCAAAATCGACTTTTTATAATAGGAAAAGGGAAACAGTACCACTTTTTACCATAAAATATGGTATATTAATAAATTTTCAAACATAAAATATCAACACCAGTAATACACAAGAGCATCATGTAACTTGTAACTTCTTTGTAGTTTCAAAATTGTTTCCTCCACAATTCCACAGTACTTCTTTGCTGGTTTAACCCCTTTGTATGATAAAAACCACCTCTAAAATTTATTAGAATTATGGAATCTTTAAGTTTGGAAAAGACCTCTAGGACAATTAAGTCCAGCCATTAACCTGAACATGTTACCATTAAACATCATATCCAACCTAAAGCTTTTCTGGCACAGCCTGAGTCCATTTCTTCTCATCCTGTCACTTGCTGCCTGAGAGAAGAGACCAACCCTCACCTGGCTACAACTTCCTTTCAGGTGAGTGTAGAGAGTGACAAGGTCCCCTCTGCCTCCATTTCTCCAGAATCAACAACCCAGCTCCCTCAGCTGCTCTGCTCCTTATAAGATTTGTTCTTGTTATTTCCTTTTGTCAGGGATTTTCATGCCACTTGTCAAATGATATTCATTCTATTGGAACATGTTTACACCCTAGATAATAAGTACCAGAAATTCAGAAAACAATGTGTCTGTTTATATTTGTTTCATAACTTTTGAACCTTTTTCAGGGAACATGCAACTTTCTCCTGGTAAATGAACTTGGACACACTTCAGCCCCCAGTTAATACAGCAGGAACTGCATGTACAAGGTAAAGGATGTGAGGAGCAGCTTCCACTTTATTGTTTAACTTGACTGTTACTAGGTTTGACCTTTTAACTTTTCCTTCAAGAATGGCTCAAAGTCTTTGATTTGTCCTTGTTATAAAACATTGTTACATTGTTATAAAAGCAAACTTTTTGCAGGAAGAATACCAGCCAGCCTCTGGAAATTGGAATGGTTCTGATGCTATTCTGCAGATTAACAAACTGACATTCACATCATATAACATATACCATATAACATTGTGATACATGATATATGGTACATCACACATGATATCTGGCCAGGTTTGTGATAATTGTCCAGAAATGCATAGTAGAGAAATAAAATAGACAAAACTCTAGACTTACTCAGGATATATGTCCAGTTATTTACATGATGATTTCACATATTGAAGAAACAGGTACTATTATGCCAAAGTGGTAACTGTTGATCTAATAAGAGCATTGCAACAAGATTAAAATACTCAAACCTGTTGCTCTGAAATGCTGCATTTTACATAACAAAGCATGCTGGCACAACCACCTGGAGAGACAGTGGGGGAAGGTCAGTCAGGATGTCCTGGAGCTGGTGTTTGCCATACCACACACGGCAGTTACAGAAAATCTTAGCACTTACAGGAAGGGGTCAGTCACTTACTACAATATGGATTGTAGGGGAAAAAAGGAGAAAAGTGCTTCTCAATACAGCCAGCAGAGAAACAGACTCTTCCACATGATAATTTAAAGCTTCTAAACTCCTGAAGTGGTGAAATACTGCTTAGAGATTTGCCTCTGAACTGTCGCATCTGGCACGTGCTGATCACCTTTACACTAGCTTCTCCCAAATCTTAGACAGGAAGTACTCCCCTAAGTGATATTAGAAAATAAAAATTAGTTTAAAAAGAAGGTATATATTGTTAAAAACACCTTTATCTTAACTATTTCTTAAACATTCAATCAGAGGCTCAGCAACAACTCAGGAGAAGAAAACAAAGATGTAGGGTTAAAAGCAGACTGCAACTGTGTGTAGTCTGAAGCAGTATTGCTCAATGAAAAATAACATCATGATAGCAAGGAAGCTTCCAACACTTTCACAAAGAACATTTTCTTAACTTATGGGACCATATTAATGATCTGCCTAGAGCATTTTTCCCAACATGAAGAAAAAGGTATGGCCATGGTGTATTTGGGTTTAGGGAAGAAGACTAGAGAAGAAAGAAAAAGTGGACAACAAAGGAAATTTATTCCCTGGTCTTTGTATAAGAATTAGTTAAAGCTATGTTTAAAATATGGAAGAAATTATCTTGAAGCTCCCCATTGACCTATGGTGATCCGAATTCAGTGAAGGAATTGTGTCTTTTATAGTCATGCTTATGCATGAGGGTGTGATAGTTGCAAAGTAATTTTGATTACTCTCCAAATTTTACAGAAAACACAATGCTCTATGAAGTGAAATTTTAAAAAGACAGTTTTTTCCCAAAAATATATAATAAAACCCTTACTAAAATGCTGGTTTATACTCCAAATTCACACCATATGAAAGTACATTTTTGAGATAATATGTTTCTTCCTGACTCTAAAAAAGCCCTTCAAGATTAGGCTTTTTTCCTTTTTTTTTTTTTTTTTTCCTAATAAGGCGCTGAAGCCAAACAGAGTTCTTCAAATCTCTCTGCAGAAGAACTGAAACTGATGTGATTCCTACCACCTGACTGACAAACAGCCATCACAATAAGTGGCCAGAATCAGTTTTGGCTGCCTTGTGCTTCTTGAAATCCTTCTGAATTTCAGGTGATTGCCTTGGCCCCTTATCTACCACAGGATTATGGAAATAAGCTGAGACTGTGGAAGCTGCCAGTGAAGTATCACTAAACCTCTGTGGTAAAGGGGCTCAGAATATGTGGTAATCTTTAAGCTACTGACAAGCAATTTAGTTTTTGAGAAATAGCTGATTAAGCAAGGGTCATAGAAACCTCAGTGTTCAGACTGAAAATGTGTTATGAATAAATTCACATGCGCTTTGACAAAACTTGCCCATTTTTATACTTGAATTCACTTTGTTTCACCAGGTCAGTACTTTTCAGGTTCCATTACTGCTGCTTGGGCTTAGGGAAAAAGTTAAATTTTGAGTGGGTTCTGAAGAAAGTTTTGGCATTTCTGGGCTGAAAGCTCTGAAGCTCAGGAAATTTCTTTTCTCTAACTCTTGACATTTTCTCACCCTGTGTAGTATTACATTTCTGTTCTTTATCTCTGTCAATTATTTTCATGAGAAGACAGCATTTGATGTAATCTGTTCCCAGAGAGGAATGTCCAGAGTATTGCTAAAAAATACTTTTGCTCATTGGTCAAAGGGCCCATGAATTATTATGGTTGAATGGTCCTCATTTGAGCGGAAAGGATGCAATGTCTAGGAAAAAATATCTGTGAGATGAGATGTACTATTAACTTCAGATGGTTCTGGACATGGTTGTACAAAACTGCCCACTTTGAGTCAACAGTTATAAAAGCCAATGAGTTAACAGTTAACATTAATCTGACTTAATGGCAATGGTCAACTCATCCAGCACATGTCTACACCGTGTTTTTTGCTGCGTGCCACATCATGAGCCACTGAAGTGGGTTGTTATTGCCAGCCTACATGTCTAATGCTGCTGATCTACATCTGTAACAGTATCAGGGGGACCATTCCCATCCTAATGTCTCAAGCTGTTCCATGTCTTGGTGCCCACACAGGGCACACAGGGCTCTCACCTCTGTGCCCACCAGCCACCTGCCTAGTGCACCTTAAACATCACTGGGTTAGGTAACACCAATGCTTCTCACTCTTGGCCTTTCTAGTCCTACAGAAGAGCCTGGGCTTTGGTTGGAATCCCCTGTGGTGTCCTCAGAGGCAGAAAATAGTTTGTCTCTGTAAAGCCAGGAATGAACCTTCTGTGTTCCATAAGCATCTCCTTTCTTGCTGAGATGAACAGGACAGTAAAGATTAGGGCCAAATCCTCAAGTGGCTGCTCTCTGGCATGTAGAACTTAAGTTTATTAGCACATTGTTTGGTGGTTCTTAAAAGGATTGAGGGCATCTCAGGGCATCTTGGAAAATTTTGGATTTTTTCAGAGGGAGAGAGAGAATTGCACTTGGCAATTCCTGTTTCTACACTGTCAAGGAGTGCTCAACTACAAAATTTTCCTTCCAGCAGGTCCAAGTAAGTCCGGGGTGGATCTAGCTTCACTGTCTCTGATTATATCTGTGGGCAAAAGAAGAGAGAGGAAGAAAGAGAAAAAACATTGTCAGACTGACAAGGTACAAGTACTTGTGGACTGGTATTCGAGGAACAGATTCCCTGCCTTTTATGTTTTGCAAAAGTTGCACTTCAGAAGTGTCTGTCTGTAGTATTTATTGCATATTGGTAGCTGGAAAATAAATTTCAGAGAACAAATTCTCTAAATTTCCAAGTGTCTAAGCCTAGCTTCTGTACTATTAACTCTTAGAACGTGTTTATCTTAATTGAATTATCTGAAGTCTTAATCTTTCTGCTGTGTTTTGCAAGAAGGAAAGTTCAGCATTTGGAGAATCATTCCAGAAAATACTGGGATTCAAGATAATTTTATTTCTTTCAGATGCTTTGGCTTTTGATGTTATTTTTCCTTGTCAAGGTTCCTACTGTTTGTGGATAAGCCCTTTATTGGAATATTTCCAAAATCAAAGGAGTCAATTCATTTGTTTCATATTTCAGTGAATCTTTAAATGTTTGTCTTTAAATCAGCATTTGTTGAAAAATATAGTTATTTTATTTGTTTGACTTTTGTTTATATTCTCATTATAATGCAGAAATGGGCAAAAGAAATATGGCCTACATGAGAGAAACACAGAGACAGTTAGATATATTTCTCGTACATGAAACTTATAAGAGACACAAACCTCAAAAATTTACTTCTAAAAAATAAACCCAGATATCCTATAATTAAACATTTATTTGAAGTGAACCTTTAAAAATACCAAAGGTCTGTCTTCACAAATGAACATTTTTAGCATGACTAAAAAATTTGTAAAGTAAGAAAGATAAGGTTTGTCTGAGTTGATTAAACAGTGCAGAAATGCACATTTTTGGTGGAAGACATGATGTTTTTACTAGTCTATCACTTATTAACACCCAAGTACATTGTTATCTTGAAGTATAATATGCCACTGTGATTTTTTTTCTTCAATGTGATCATCAAAACATAATTTTTTGTACTTGACAGGGAAGAAAAATGGAGGATATGAAAAGCAGATGACAAAATGAAACTATATAGTCTTAATTTTTATTGCCTGAATCTCTTTCTGTATTTGATATTGGTAAATATATTACATTGGTATGTTTACCAGTTAAATAAACAATCAGTCAAACAAAGCCCTTGAGGGCTTATTTAAATAGAAATATGTGATGTGGATTTAGTAGAGTAGAAACCCAAGGTCTGTGTAATTTAGAACCTTGTGTAATTTTCCCATCAGTAAATCACACGTGGTTTCCTTCACAGCAGTGACCTTAGTTAGATTTTGATATGGCAGTAACTGTAGGCATAAATCATAATAAACTCCATGCTACATCAATTCAAGGAAATCAAATTTCACAGTCTATACTAACTCCATCATAAACTCATTTTTCCAGCATTCATTACCTTAACAATTCATCAATTGAGTCTATTAGCCATACAATGCAATGCATTACTTTTAATGTGAGAAAGTAAATTGCAGTATGAATTACAAGCTAGAAGGCTGGGTTTTTTCACATCTTTGAGAAAGCTTTTTGTGGGTGCTTCTCTTTGTTATACTCTTTGTTGGTACATATTGAAGGGATTATGAATTCTGGCTGGCATCTGGACACCTTAATGGGTACTCAGAAGTTGTACAGTCAGATTCTTCATTTCCTAAATGATTTTTGTATTATTAACTGAAAACAAATCACAGAATTAACTGGTTTCTTAGCCAGCAACCCTCTGCACTTAAAAAGTATGACAGCTCCCTCTTCACCAGGTGAATAGAGGAGCCAAGTTGCAATAACTTATAGGCAGCAAATGCACGAGCACCAGAAGTCTCCAGGAAAAGATACACTGAAGTAGCATTGCCACCAATAAAATGTCCACATAGATATATGCAAATCATATTGCCCAGTGCCAAGCCTTGCTCCAAAACTTACTGCACAAAAGCCAACTAACAAACTGCATTATTCCACAGGTTAGACCAAAACTAAGCAAGGAGGAAAACAGCTCTTCTACTCCAGGATGTGAATAGCAGAAAGTGCTTCTCATTATTTCATCCATAGCTGTCTTCTTAAAAGCACACTAAGGTTTTGCATCACCTTGGTAACTGTAGATCTTGGAGCAGATGTTTTAAATACGATAAAGACAATGGCAGTATGTCCTCTTGCTATGAAACTCCCAGCAAGTGGACGTGGTCCAGAATTCCATTCCAGAAGATGATTTCACAACAGTGAATTAAATCAGGATTTCTACTCACAGGTTTTTCAACAGATTTCAATGTTAGGTATTTGTTGGAGCCTGGTACCTATTTTGATATTTTCCCTGAAAACTCAGAGCTATCATATTACTCAAAGGATGGAAAACGCAATAGTCAGACAAAACCAGTTAGTATCAAAAGAAATACAAAACTGTGTATTTTTTCATCACTTTGTATATTTTGTATATTATACTCTGAGGTTTTCTTTTGGTTTTCTTGTTGGTTTTTTGTTGTTTTTGTTTTTATTTTTAATTTGCATTTAACAAGGCTCATTAAGTCAAAGGAATAGTCATGTGCTTGTTCTTACTGGCAGTAGAGTGTGAAGTAGCTACTTTTTCTCTGTATGATTTTCTGTTCTGTAGAAATTGAGACATTTCTAGTTATTAAAATGAAAACTGGTAAAAAAATAGCTATTTTTCAGAGTTTGTTTCTCTCACTGTCTTTTCTCTTGAATGTAACTTTTGACAGAAATAAATAGTAGCAAGTTTGCACTTTTTAAAAGCATCTTGCTAAAATTAGCCTTATTTGGATGGTGTAAATGAGAACAGCGTGAAAGTCCCTATTCAGCAGAAGGAGCCATAACAAATGTATCAGAGTATTGTCGGGAGGAAGTAGACCAAAGTCTTTTTCAAGCTGAATTACAAAAAAAAAAAAAAATTAAAAAAAAACCCCACAACAAACAAAAAAATCCTCAACAAAACCTAAAAAAAAAAAAACAAAAAAAACCAAAAAAACAAAAACCCAAACACCAAAAAGCCCACATAAGTAGCAGTTAAGAATAGAAAATATGTTTCTGTTACTGCTGGTGGATGACACATTGTGTAAGACAGCTGCAAGTCTTCATTTCTCTGAATCCCCATCCTCCTTCCCCTTGAACTACTCTTTCCTTTTTAATGGAGGATTTTGTTTCTTCATTAGGAATCTAATTCTGCAATACACTGAACTCACCCAAACTCCAGGGGCTTTAACTGGGAGGATTAAAGTCACTAGACAATCACAGAATCATAGAATATGTTGAGTTGGAAGGGACCCAAAAGGATCATCAAATCCAATTCCCGACCCTGCACAGGAAGGACATCCCAAAAATCTTCCCAGGGGCTGTGCAACACCTTGCAAAATAAAAAACTGAATAAAAGGCATTTCTTCTTTTGCCTTTGAACAGGCTTCCAGTTAGTACATCTGTTCAATGAATGAGAATTTCTGGGTTGGCACCTTCAGTACTGCAATACATATAGTCTTTGTCACCTTTTTACTATCAGGTTTAACATAAATGCCAACAAGCCTCGGGCATCTGAACCTCATTCTTTAGTCTTTGCATTTCTTGAGTTGGAAGGACTACTCATTGTATCCTTATTATGTAAGGGGGTGAAGGGATCAGCAAAACTCTTTTGTTCTTGTTGTCACTACAATGCTCTGTCCTTTTTGAAAAGGAGAGGAAAAACAAGTAACTTGCAGCAAATCCATCCATGACACAGTTCACATAAACCCACTTTAGACACAGAACTTCAGGAGCTGATTTGGAAAACTCCACAGGTACTCAGTGCAGGCTGGAGGGAACCATTCTTTGCATCTACACTACACTGCTGCTCTGAAAGAGATGAGAGGAAAACTAGCTAAGTTAGGATCATGTAGCTCTATAGCATGAATGGTATGTGCAATGTGAGAGGAGCAGCATCAATCCATCTTTCTGACACTGCTGAATCAGTGCTGTATTCCTGATAACAAGCTGGGCAAGACAGCATCAAATTCAGTGGGAAGCTGCTCATACAAGCTGAAGTGACAACGATACTCTGAGCCACTTTTGGATGACCTTCACCACTTTGATTTCTCTGAGGGGAGCTGGCTCCCACATTGCACTGCCAGATCCACCCCCATTCCCATATGTGATCAGTCCCTGTGGACAAGAACACTGACACAGCTTCTAGAGGCTAACTATTAATGTGCAGTAACACTTCTGGCTTCCATACTGGGCATGGGAAAGTCCACGCGGCATAGACTGATGTGTTGGAAATGTGCCTAGCAATACAGAAAGCCTGATTTTTTTGTTAGTTTTTTTTTATTCTATTCCGTTTTTCAGCATTCTTGATTTTATGGCAAATTTCTATGTACTCTGATGGCTTATTTTTCCCACAAAACTGGAGAGTTTATAAAAAGTGTAATAGTCAGGAACTGTACCTTGTCCAACTGTCTTTTTTAAAGGCAGTCAATTTTCCTTACTAACATCTCAAGGCAGTGAATATGGCAATGGGATTAACGGCAAGGGGTGGAGCGAAAAGAGAGAGAGAGAGAGAGAAAATTTTGGGAAGTTTTTGGCTGCTGTGAAAAGAAAGTGAGAGTCTCATCTAAACAACATGCTGCAATGTCAGCACAACCTCTATTAGAGACCAGGAAATCTGACACAAGAGGGTGTGGGAGAAATCCAAGATCCCTCTTCTTGAATTTAGTAAACCAAGCAATATGCATTTTCTTTCTTTCTGCTGTGGCTAGCTTCCCTTTCACTTGTGTGGTGGCAGACTTAAAACTTAATGGCTTTGCTATGAAATTCTGTTTCTTTTTCACTTTCCTCTACTCGGGCTTTCTGTAACATTTTCTTACTAAATGCCCGAAGTTCTGTCAGATTGAAGTTTCAGTATTAGCAGTTTGACTCTGATTATTCCAGCATGGACTCCCAATTTCTTCGTCAAAGCAATCTTGTCTGAATTATCCCCTTGTCTTAAGGTTCTCCTATAAGCTTGAATAAAAGACTTAATCACCTTCCATTTTTCATACTTCCATGAGCCAGGTGTTTAAAATACATGAATAATTTTCTACAAATCTGAAATTGCACGTAAAAAGAATAAATCAACTTCTTGAAGCTGTAGTTCAGACACAGTAAAAGCCAACACAATCCTGGTTTGAATGCTGTATAGAAATACAGGAAGTATTAGTGTCCTGTAGCCAGTGTAGAGGACCTAGTAAGCTCCTATATGAAAGAGTCTACAAATCTTTTCATCCATATTCAAGAAGTAGGAACTAACTTTGAATGGGTGTAAGAAAAGGCAATTAGCTTGATCAGGGATATGAAGAATCTACTGCACAAGAGAAGACTGAAAGATTTTTGCTTATTGAGCCTGGCAAAATAAAATCAGAGAGAGAATAGGGTAACTTCCTGAAAACATATCTGAGAAGAAAAGGGTGAGGGAAGGTCATTCCAATACTCTAGGAAAGAATAAAAATGTAAATTGTCTATGGATTCACCTGAGGATGAAACAGGAATATTTCCTAACAACAGAGCAGTGAGGGTCTGAAATTCCCTTTTAGAGAGACAACTTGGAGCTTTTGTACTTCAGTGACCAAAAAACTGCTTATATGATTCTGGTTATGATGAGTCATTCTGTTTAAGCACGTAGCCTGAAGCATCTATCTTGAACACAGATTCTCAGTTTTGTGAAATTTGCATAATACAGGATTTCTTAGGAAAAAACCAAGTCGTAAGTTACAGAGAGGGAGCTGCACCTTTTCTGACTTTTATATTCACGGACATTTACTATGTAAACCATAATAGTTGCAAGATTAGACACTGCACCACAGCTGTTACCATTAGCTTTAGCTTGAGAAATCTGCTATATTTAAGCAAAATGGATACCACAAAACTTGAGGCTGGAAGGTCTTTAATACCAGGATTAATAGGTCAGGCTCTATATTACTTCTGGCAGTGATGAAAAAATTACCCTGCAAAGAACTGCTTTTAAACCAGTACAGTCTGTGTCCAACAGGCACTTGCAGGGTGTTAATTTCTATGTCTTATAAAGCATTTAGAGCCAGCCTGTTAATCCTCAGTGCTATTGTAACAAGTTGAGTTCAGCTCTGTCTTGCTTCCTTGGGTCATACTAACACACTCTTTTTCCTGGACTCTTTTTAATTGGGAAATAAATCAAACCCATGAGTGCTCATTCTTATAAAAAGCGTATATCAAAAATAAAAAAACAAATTGTCTCTAAATCATTGTGCTTAGGCCTAATCTTTCCTGGGCAATGTAACTAACATAGATAGTTCTCCCCAAAACTACTTTTGTAATTAAAATACATCCACCCTTTCAGAAAGACAAAGGACTGAAGGGGATCTTCTGGAAATCATGAAGTTATTGTTAACTACTTCCCTATATGATCTTCTTCACAAATCAGACAGCTCCATTTTGAGACCAGTTACTTTATTTCTTCTCTCCACATATATCACTACTACAAAAATTTAGATATTGACTCATACATCTCAGCCAAATATATTCATGGACTTCTTGTGCCAATATCTTCTTTTGCCAACATCTTCTTTTGCCAACATAAACAATTCGTCTCTCTTCCCAAAACTTAGCCTTTCAAATATATGCTGCAACCATATCTCCTACCAGTCTTCTATTTGCTGTGATAAAAAACTTCTTTTTGGAAGGTTTGCACTGCAGATTTCAGTATAATATATATACATCTTGAAGCAGGATTTGATGAGGCAAATTGTCTTGTGACAGCTGGCAGTTCTTTGACAAGATTTTCTTTGCAGTTTCTATGTATTTAGTAATCTTACTATATGGTGTCTTGTGCATCAGCATTTTAACAAATGTAAAGATCAGCCAAAGAATAAGAAATGATAATGCAAACAGATATATAGAAATGTATTATGCCAATACTCATTCAGATTTAAAGTTGTGATTCACTGCTTTCTATGCAGTAGATTGTTTACTCCTCCTGCATGAGTGGCCACAGGCAGGACTCAAGTACATATGTGGGTGGCTAGAGGGGAAAAAATATAATTATTGATGACATGAGAAAAATAAAGTCTTCTATCACTTGTTGCTCAGTTAAGCTCAGAACAATTCAAATATCAAAAGAAGAAAACAATAATATTACATGACTCATACTTGTATTCAAGAAAACAAATAGCAGTGTACAGAAAGGTGATGGGTACAAATCCATCATATGAATAATACCCTAGATTTAATACCTTAGAATCCTTTGGTGGGTTCTTAAAATTTTGCAGGATACATTGTCAATGGTGATATCATCTGTTCCTGATGAACAGTAACTGCAGGAGTGGAACAATACCACCATTTTGTGGGTGCCAGTGGCAGTTGTAGGAAGTTATCTATATGATATTTTTCTTTGAAGAAAAAGCTTGAAGAGCAAACATTCTAAATCATGAAGAAAAATTCTGTGCAAT